TTTGCAATTCTGATACAGGTGGGAATTGGAGGGGTTTTTTGTCTTGTTGAGGGGTTTGCTTTGAATAACTTCTTTGGGAGAGGGTCTTCAGCGGATTATGTGCTTCTTGAAGTACTGCATAGAAACTTAGTCAGCGTGAAGTCAGAGACTTGGGAATTCATCTTGCACCTAAGAAATGGAAGTTTTGTGACCATTCCTCTCCAGGGAAGAACGCAATCATCAACACTTTGCATGTCGAGTTGAGACAGCGTTACAGGGAGCAAGGTTGCCTGGGAGTCTGCCAGGAGGCATAGCAAAAACTCTTAAAACCGACGTGTGTTTTGAGTGGAGAGACTTGTGTCTGTATGAACAAGAGGTGTATGAGGGGGGTGACGTAGCAGAGATTATTTCTGGGAGGCAGGAATTGGTGCTGCTGCAACACTTAAGGATTCTTAATGAGGCAGTAGTTATCATTTCTGGGCATGGAAAAAAGGGTATAAATCCCATCTTATAATCAGGAGGCTGAATGCACTGTTTTGCTAAGAGTTTCCTAGGAGTGTTTCGTTGCATGCTTGCTGGTTTGTCAGATAATGAGAGCAGTGAAAGTGTTTTGTTTTGAAAGGTAATCTTCAAAGAATGAAATTCTCAGTGAACCTCACATTTGTAAGAAATCAAGATAATTAGCTTTTAGAATAGAATAGACTATTTCAGTTGGAAGGGATCTACAACAATCATCTAGTCCCACTGCCTGACCACTTCAGGACTGACCAAAAGTTAAGGCATGTTATTAAGGGCATTGTCCAAATTCCTCTTAAACAGTGACAGGCTTGGGGCATCCACCACCTCTCTAGGAAGCCTGTCCCAGTGTTGGACCACCCTCTTGGTAAAAAAATGCTTCCTAATGTCCAGTCTTTGGACCTTCCAAAAAAAACCAACCCAAAACCAACAAAACCCTAAGAAAAAAAAAAACAAACCACCAGAATTTGGCTGTTTGACTGAATATGTGGATATGGCATAATCATTTCCAGTAGACAGAAGGTGGTTTTGGATGGGGTCGTCCTATGCAGAACAAGACTAGTAGGACCAAGGACTTGTTATTACGACAGGAAAAACTGGCCCCAGGATAGAGTTTAACTTGGGCTGTCATGCTTGTTGACACTTCTCTGCAAAGTAAACCTGAGAAGTTTCTGAGCTGAATATGTCTTGTTGGCCCTCCATTCTTTACAGGTTTTCTCTAAGTTAAGGTTGGAGTGAATCCGTACAAAACACTTAAAATCTGAAGTCTTATGTGATAGTGAATGTTCTTTTGTCGTGATGCAGTGGTACATGGAAATTCTCAAAATTAGAATGTATGGAAAAGCAGATGGGCTCTGAGCAAGAAAACCATAAATTATAAGTCTCTTGGTGTGTATTACCTCGTGGTTTGCTTTAGTTTTCATTTAGACCAGCTTTAGAAAGTTAATATCAACCGTTAAACCTTTTAGGCTATCTTCCCCCCTCTTTTTTTTTTATTTTTTTTTCTCTAGTTTAGAAGTGAATAAAAGAGCTTTGTACAGTTCTTGAAACTGAGCCTGAAACAGCTCTGAACAAACTATAGTGTTCCTTTCAAAATCTTGGAAATAATTACATCATAGGCAAATTGGGCCAGAAACCGTTAATAGTATTCTTTGTGGAATGAAATCCCATGGGAGAACCTATTTCAGCAAGCTGGCATTGTTTACAAATAGATACAGTGACAGATACAGTTGTCCCATTCTGAGGGACAGCTGAAACTCTGTGCCCTATAATGGACTTCACAGAATAACCGTCTTGCCTTTGATAACAAGCTGAAAACGTGCCTTGGTGCTTCTGTGGTCAGCCTCACGCCAGTGGTCTCAGGGAGTGAAGGCTGTCTTTGGCACTGGAAAAGTACGTTAGGTGGGTTAAAGAGGAAATAAAAGCCTCTGTTGCCATAAGCTCCTAGTCTGTGAGAACTGCTGGAGGGATGGGGAGCCATGTCCAGGTGTCTCTGTTGGGCTTCATAAGCTGGAAACTCCCTCGCGCTTCCCTGTGCAGAAATACCTGGGCATCGTGCGCTTTCCCTTCACCAGGATAACACGCATGGCACATGTAGTTCTCCCTATCACAATAAAGGTCCTTGGTTGTTGCCTGCCAGAGTCCGTGCCCTTAATCCCCACAACCTTACAGTAGTTTTCATCACTGGCTCTTTTTTTCTTTTCCACCCTTGCCTACCCCCCATTACTGGAAAACCTTCTGCATTTCAGGATAGAAATCACAAAGATTAGTAAAGTTAACTGTTTGACCTAAATCTACAAAAGCATTCAGTTCTCTAGGTAAATAGGCTAGTCTGTACTGGAAAGTTAGATCAGCACAAGCCCTAGCCTGGGCACAATTATAGCTATTCCTTGGTGATACAAAGCACGTTATTGCCTACATATGTGCTTCCATAGGAGGGTGGGCCATGTCCCTCCATCGCCAGAGCAGGTCTCCCAGTAGATCTCTACCTGGACAGCTGGGCTGTGTCGGCAGAGCCCTCTTGTGGGGACCGGGCACATGCCGGGGACCGCGGTTTTCCGTGAAGGATCACTTCTGTGCTTTCCCAGGTGGTGTGTTCCGAATGACAAAAACATCCTTCTGTCTGACAGCTGCCTCCAGTACATGACTTCATTAGTTACGAGTGTGTGATCTTTTCCACGCTTCTAGGCCTGAAGGCAAAGCTATAGGGAACAACGCCTGGTCGGTGGCTGCCTGTGGCTCAGTATTACCTGTGCAGTATACAGGTGGAGGTGAGCAACTCCATGGGGTAGGGAAGGTCTAGCAGTTCACATAGGGCTGGAGCCTACGAGTAGGCATCCTCTTTGGCTGGTGAACACCATATTGATCTACCAGTAGAGCAATTGTTCGAGCTCTCCCTAATTTGCTGCAGGCAAAATATGCTAGAATAGCTCAGATCACTAATTAAACATAAACCAGTTGATGAAGTCAGCTGGGAAGGATGCTCATACAAACTGCTACCCTGATGGAGGTGAGCAACTGGGGTCAGCAACGTCTTTAAGTGCATGCTTGTGAATCAAGATCTCCAGGATCCCCGCTTCATGCTGTATGTACTAGGGAGAGGGCTGGGACCAGCTGTTGCTAGGGTTTTCAACTGTGTGACCCCGGGACGGGTCCCTGGGATCCCTTGGGGATCCAGATGTTCAGGAACCCCGCTTTGTGGATGCAGGGACCGGTGCAAAACAGAGATGTGATGGTATATTTCATTTATTGTTCTTGTCACGGGGCAGATGCTTTGAATCTCAGATCTGGCATTTTGGGATCTCATTTAAGTGAAATTAAAAATGTAAGTCAAGTAATAAAAAAAGAAGTGATTGTTTTATGTGTGGTAAAAATGGTAACGAAAATGGTTATTTGAAAATGGTAACGAAGGCTAAAATGCCCATGTTATGAAAAACAGTCTCAAGTGAACATCTCTAAATGTTTCAGTTGGTCATTTAGTTTTTATGTGGAAGGTATTGTCAGTTAAGCAATGTGGATTTGATTATCCCTTATTAATGTATCAGCTGGAAATCCTGGCAAAATTCCAGCTATAGCAAAATAAATGCAACTGTTGAAAATGTTAACCTTGGTTCTTAAAGAAAAAAAGCCCACCACCAAACAACCCTGAAAACCTTCAGCCGTGGCAGCTTTACCAGACCAAAGCGAGAGCAGCAATGCTGTTACCAGCTGAGCTTCGGGACCTCTTTGTGTAAGTGGCAGTCATCATGTTTGGCTGATACTTCTGGGGGAAAAAAAAAAACCTACGACTTCCACAGCTGAAAAACATAAGTTGCTTCATTTTAAATTTAAGAGAGTAGGTGATGACTGCAATAACTTGTGTTATCTGTGAATCAGCACGAGGAGAGATCCATAACACATGTACAGTGGTGTGCACGTGCCTTCCATAAAAGGAGCCACATTGATTTTAGAGGGGTTGGAAGGCAAGGTGCCTGTAGAGTTGTAACCTTTAAAAATATGCAATATAGCTCGCATCGCATCTGATCTGTCTGAAATCATACTCTATTTTCAGGTTTTAAAACAGTTCATTTTACCAAGTATTGCTTGCTTGTTAAAACAGCTGCTTAATCCAGACTTGAATTTTAATATTTAAGATAACTAGAAAGATTAGGAATTGGAAAAGTCTGACATGCCCTGTGTCTTCCCAATTTATGAAAGTTTTGTAACAATTTCTGGGTATTTTTTTCCTTAGATCAGTACCCCTGTTCTTAGCGGTCAGCAAAAGATCATCTGTGTCCACTCCCTGGTGATGTACCATACTTAGGACTTTATGGTGCTGTTGTTATTCAAAGCTGTGCCACAAACTACACTGGTAACAGACTTGTGTGGCAGCAGGACAGAAAGAGGAAGACTTGAATTGTTTTCAGGATATGATAATTTTCCTGCTTAGTTTTTGATTGACTTTAAAGTAAACGTATTGCTCATTTTTATGTGCAAGAAAGTTTTTAATTGGTACTTCTGAATGACTTTCCTTTGGGAAGATCATTCCTTTTGAAGCCCCACACTCCCATGACTAAATCCTCTCCAAACACAGAGGAGGGAGGGAACAGAGATCTTAATGCTTGCTATCCATATCCCCCCAACATGCACCTCATTTCTTACATCATAAAAATGGTTCACTACAATACCAGGTCGTTTCAGTAAATCATTTAAATTTTGCTTTGAAAGTCTGGTTTTAGAGGAAAATTTGGATTGTAAACAACTGCAGGAAAAAAGCTGTAAATAAAAATTTAAAAAGCCTTTAACAGGGATTAAAAAAAGCTTTATTTTAGTGGTAATACAGTGATTTTTAGGAATTGGCCACTGCATTTATTTATAGTGACCAGCAGTAGACCTTATTCAGAGCAAAGTTCTAATAGAGAGGCTTCCTTATTCTGCCGGAAGGCTTTTCTTGCCTTCTTTCCTCCTCAGGACACCAGCCTTGGCATCCTTACTTGACAGGCATGCTTTCTGTTCTGCTTTTGCAGGAGGCTGTGAGGGCTGCTGAAGATGTCCGATAGTCTGGATATTGAAGAGAAACCTCCAGCCCCACCGTTGAGAATGAACAGCAACAATCGCGATTCTTCAGCACTAAACCACAGTTCAAAACCGCTCCCCATGGCCCCTGAGGAGAAGAACAAGAAAGCCAGGCTTCGCTCCATCTTCCCAGGAGGAGGGGATAAAAGTAAAGTATCAGCAGTGCGAATGGGTGGCTACATCTGTTTGCTTTCTGTTGGTTGCTGCCTTTACTTTCTGCCACTGTTTTCTTTCTGTTTCAGTCGAGAACATGGTAAAGTCCTTCCAAAGCCTTCTGTTCCAATTACTCTAGTAACATGTTTCTAAAGAGGAGGAGGTGTTCAGTCAGTTACTTTCTTGTCTTTGAAAAGCCAGTAAGACATGCACACATTGTGCGACTTGCCTTTTAAAAATAACTTTATAGTTAAGCTGGGGAATCCTTTCCTTTGGATTTTGCTTTGCATTTGCAGTAAAAACAGAGATGAGGTGGTGTACTTTTGAAAATACATTTGCAGAAGTGAGAAGGCAATATGCCTGACGCTTTTGGGTTTTTTCTTTTTAATGCACCTACATTCCAGGAACAGGAGCAAGGCTCTTCTTCCTTGTTGCTTTTGCAGTGAGAGTGGATGCAGAATGGCTTGGTTTAAAACCTGCTAGGTGTGGTTACAGCAAGAGAGTCTTTTAAACATGCAGGAAACGGCATTTCAGTTGCATTCTTTGAAATGCATTTGCAGAAAGGAGTGTGTTTTGAGTTAGTGTATTTACAGAATTAAGGGAAGGGATCTTCTTTCTTTTTTTTTTGTAATGCCATGGGAACCGATGGGCTGCACCCACAAGTGCTGAGGGAGCTGGCTCATATCACTGCAAGGCCGCTCTTGATTATCTTTGAAAGGTTATGGTGACTGGGGGATGTTCCTGATGACTGGAAAGAAGCAAATGTCACTTCTGTCTTTAAGAAGGAGGATCTGGGGACCTACAGGCCAGTCAGCCTCACCTTGGTCCCTGGGCAGCCAGTGGAGCAAATCCTCCTGGAAACCATTTCCACACAAATGAAGGATAAGAATGTGATCAGGAATAGTCAGCATGGATTTACGAAGGGGAATTCATGCTGAACCATACTGACAGCCTTCTACCATGAGATGACAGGCTTGGTGGTGAAGGGAGAGCAGTGGGTGTTATTTCTACTTCAGAAAGGTGTTCACGCAGCCTCCCATTGTATCCTCACAGACAAACTGATGAAGTACAGTCTAGTTAAGTGGACAGTGAGGTGGACTGAAAACTGGCTGAAGTGCTGAGCTCAAAGCATTGTGATCAGCAGCATGAAATCCCGCTGGATTTCAAGTGGGAATTCCGCCTTCGATGTGCATTGCTGTTCCTCCAAGGAGAGCTCAGAACTATGGAACTGTGGTCATTCCCTCGGAGCTCCAGCTCACCTGCGCTGCTTGGCTGCCCCGTTCACAAGTCTCTTCTGCAGGTCATGTGGAGCAGTTGGAGTTAGTCTGGCATTCAAAGCTCCTCACAGGCCATAGAAGGCACGATTTCAGCCCCATTCCTCCCCTGAGTCAGGGGCAGTCCTGATGGCTCCTCTCATGTGAAGGCTGTGACTGGATGGGCCCCTTCCTCAGGCAGACCTGGCTGGTTCACTCTGCAGAGTGCTTCCCAAAATGTCCCCTTCTGGGAACAAAATTAATTTTCAACTGGTTCATTTTGAAGGCCAAAAGTAAAATCTCTCCTGGCTTGTTTAATTCCAGGAAGGGCTTGGGCCACTTCTTCCCCTGACTGCCAGCAGGATGGTATTATCCCTCTCCGAGGGAACATTTCTTAAGCAGGAGGTGCTGTGTGAAATGCATGCAGAAATGGGGAGATCCAGAAGCAACCCCTCCTGGAAATGGTCAGTGACATTAAAAATAGATGTAATTACCAGTCAGAGCAGTCTTAGGAAACATACAAGTATCATGATTTTAAATGTGACTGTGAGGGAAAGTAAGCTTAAGATTTATAGCTTAATTTTATTGGGTGAAATAATAAATGGAGGAAGTTTAGCTTGGCTGGCCAAGCCCCTTGAGGTGGTTTAATCTCAGGGTTGGCTTGTGGGTCAGGGTATCAGCTGGCCTGTGCATGCTTCACAGACTCAGTGACACATTTTTGAGAGTCCGGCTTATGAAACAGAAGGTGATTAATATGGCTGCTCTCGTCTAATGCAGTGCTTTGCAGCATCACAAATTTATATTAATAGCCCACCACTGGTACTAGTAAACAGAACGTGAAGAAAACACCATGGCAGGGTGTTTCTGCCTGAACCTGCAGGAACTTTGTCGTCTTTCGTTTGCTCACCAGACAGGAGGGATGTGAGGATGGATATGCCGTGGTGTGTTCTCTCCAAGGCAATGGTGTATGCCGGGACTGCTGTGCTCAGGGACCAGGAATCTTTTGCGGTCACTCCCCTGTTGGACTGTAGGGTTTTCAGTTAGGATTTGAGCACTTCTGTGTCTAAAACCTTGTTTTGGCAAGCCACTGATGACTCTGTGGGGCCCCTCTGTGCTTGTACAGTTGAAACAAGCCACTTAGGCATTAGCGTCCTGCTCCTCCCCATAGCACCTGATCTCCTTATGTTCCTTGGTGTAGCTCCTCTCGTCCCCGTTCCTGGGGTAGGGTACTCCATTTCCTGGGGGCAGGAAGCCAAGGCAGACAACTGAAATAAGTTTCCAGCGTCATGTGGGCAATCTGAACCTGTTCCCCCATAGCCCGTGCTGAAGCTGTGGAATTGGCCTTCCTTCCCTGGAGGTAATGATGGTGATGGGAGCCATGGTGGAGTTCGTAGCATTAGTGTTTCCTTTCAGCAGAGTGCTGTTACCTCAAGAGAATTGAGAGCAGAAGGAAATGGCTTGCATTCTTCCAGTTGTTTGATACAGCCTTGTTCTTCTCTCATTAAACCACCTGTAATTGCTGTGCTATGAAATAAATTAATACTGTGCGTGAACGGGTGGCTCCATGAAGGCGCTGTAGAGCATTCAACCTGAAGAAGTGAGAGGGGAGCAGGCCCATCACAGCTCAGATGCCCATTTCAGCTGAAGAGGTACATCCGTGTTAAGATTACTGGGTGAATAGCATCACTTCCATCGAAGCTGCTTTAGATTTAGCTGTGGGTGGGAGCAGAGTCTGACCTTAGTCATCTGGTTGCCTCCTGTACAGAAAAACAAGAAAAGAGGGAAGGAGAAAAACCCAGCGGGGTTAAGATTAATGGAGGAGAAAGAAAAGGACAAGGCTGCTGGGGTAGGACAGGAGGAACAGAGCAGGAAGAAGGATGGGAGGACAATGTGAGTGACAGTGGAAGGGAGAGGGGATGGAGGAAAGAACGGAATGAAATGAAGAGGAGGCGAGTAAACAGGAGGGCGTAAGCTTGAGGTCAAACCCTTCCTCCCTCTCTGGAGAAAAGCTGCCATGTTTTTCTGCCAAACAACTGCTCTTTTAACATAATGATGGTGATGATGCAGACTATGGAAGACAGAAAACTCTTTCCTTATTCTCTTTTAATCTGTAATTGTTGCTGAGGTGGTGTGGGTGGCCCTCATGGCTAACTGCAGCAGGAGTATATTGTGAGGGGTGTTTATAAGAAAATCGAATAGGAACGTCCAGTATAAAGCCCTTGAATCCAGTCAGTCATTGCTTCAAAGAAGTCATGCCTTTTTGTATCATTTTGCCAGCTTATGCAAAACAGAAGTGATTTGAGTTGCAGGGCACAGACAGAAGTGTCAAAGTTTTTAGGCTGGGGAGGGGTGAGGGTGTTGCAAGGAGATGTTTCATTCTGTATTTAATTTATAGTTTATCAGCATTTGGACCATAGGTGTGTTATCTACAGTCTGGTAGGCAGAGGGCTGTGGAGCAGATGAGCCAAATCTTGGGGAATGAGCTGGAACGCTTGCCCCGGCAGGAGAAGCTTAGAATGGACAAGTGCTGCTTCTGATGGAACGTTTTCTGTAATGCCTTATTTCGCTTCTAGATTTGACTGTTGCTTTGAACTGAATTTGATGATCCTTTAAATCTAATTTTCACTGCATTTGCTTGCAAATGATGAGGTAGGAGAAGCCAGTTTTGTTATCTACAATAAAAAGTTATATATGCTGAACGGAGATGACATCTTGTAACTGGCAACATCTATCCTGAAAATTAAACAATATCATCTTAGAGGTAAAAGAAGGGGAAAAGCCTTTAAATTTGTATTTGATATATTGCTGCCATCTTTACTGAATGCTAAATGAAAATAATTCATCAATTAACATTGTGTAGGGGTGTGCAGTACAGACAAAAGGTGACAGTTAATTATTTGATGAGGATAAATGCAACAATGCAGAGAAAGGATTAGAAACATGCAAAATACTCTAGACTATAATTATGAAGAGCAGAGCACTTTCCAACTAAAGGAGGCTGTAAGGTAGAATAAGATAGATGTGCAAAGAGAGGCCTTGCGGAGCTACTGTCTGTGAGCAAAGACAGACCCAGGCTGGGAGGGGTGCTGATACATAATGAGTTCAGCCTTTGGATGAGACTCCTAGGTAAACTTAAGAAGCTGGCAAACATAATACTAAAACACTGAAGGAAAATGTTAATTAAAGGTCCATGAGCACAGTAGTGCTTTATTTAGAAGACTGATGTGCCAGAAAATAGATTTCGCAAAGCTCCATCCTGCTCGATATTGGTAGAATATTGGTAGAAGGGGACACTTGGTTTTGAAATAAGACACACACAAAATTGTCTTCCTCCAGTTGTTTTTGAAGTGCGTAGCATGGCTGTCACTGGCGCTGCACTGAGGGAATATGGAAGGCAAAGACAGGACCTGAACAACTGCTCCTTTCTCTCCTTCTGATGTGTAACTGTGGCACGTGTATTCATTTTCATATTATCATTAATAAATGGTGATACACTGGCCTTTAGAGATCCTGATACAGAGTCCCATTGTGATAGGCACAGTATAAACCTCTCGTATATCTCTGGGTTTCTCACAACTGTTAGCGTGAAGTCATGTCACATCAGATCTATAGAGCAAGCCTGCTCAGGACCACGATGAGGATATGTAAACCAGACAGGCATTAAACTGGTACGACGGGCAGCAGAGGAGAGGTGAGATCCTGGGGTGCAGAGTGCTTTCTTTAAAGACGTGAGATGATGTGACTTTTTTGTATTCTACATGAGCGCTTTATGCGTGTCTTATTTCTTGAGTTTGTGTTAATAACTCTCACGTACTGCAGGTGGGCACTGTCATATTTGATCTGTTCCAATCATTAGCATGTAATTTTTCCACTGAAACAACAAATGTATTTGGTAGAATGGCAGTACCCCTCGCGGCTGTTACAGGTATACCACTGGCACTAGAAAAGATCCTACAGATAGCTCTGTACTGTATTATTCAACCACGTGGTAGTTAGTCTTGGAGCATGCTGGTTCTCCAGGGAAGCCAAATATTTCAGGTACCTGCCAGCAGGATAGATGTTTGAACGTGGGTTTATGCTATGTTTCTCTGGGTGTTTGGGAGTCGTCCAGAACTGGCATAATTGCCACCATTTTTCAGAGAAATCTCTGTTGAACATGGATTCTTGACGCATCAGACTGAAGGCAGCTTCTCTCAGCCTTTATTCTACTCATTCTTTATCATGGCCAAACTGGGCTGATGTGAGATTCGTCAATAGTAAAAAGCACAGGAGATGGATGACCACAAGGGATGTTACTTTCAAAAGGTGTTAAAATAGGAGGGAGATGAGAGAAACGCATGCAGATTGACTGACTTCCAAGACTGTCTCCTTCAGTAAGATACTCCACACTCTGTGAATACTGGTGGAGTGATTTAAAAACAAGGAATTCCTGGAGGCTAATAAAGCCTGGGTTTTCTGGTTGTATGTCTTAGTTAATTGAGAGCTCAAATGAAGCTTTTCCAATGGCATTTATGGGATCTTGTTGCTGTGCAGATTCTGGGGTTTCTAATACAGAGCCGCTGCTTCAGCCTTTTAATCAGAGAGGAGGCAGGAACAGGATCTTTGTCTTCTCCTGAGCTGCCTGTTTTCACAGAACTTGTAGGAACCTGATTATCTTAAAAAATCTCTCCTCTCTGATTTGGCTGAGTTTGACAACAGGTTCAAAGCATGTTGGAGAAAAGACACACGTGCAAACAGACACGCACATGCATGTCCTGGGTGCTTTACTTCTGCAGGAACCCACAGAGCAAAGTCAAACAGGAGTTAGTTGCTAGGAACGAAAACTTGATGAAAAAAAGAACTGATAATAGAAATCATACTGGTTGGAGATAACCTAAGAAGGCTACTTCATGAACAGCTTGCTTTGGCAGCTGTGACACTGATTGGAAGAAAAACAAAATGAAATAACACCTTACAAACCTTCCCCAAACAGGGGTTGACAGTTAGGCTGGTGGTGTATTAGCTTGCATCTATTTGTCAGGTAAGATGGATGTTAATTGATTTGTTTTCCGCTTCTAAAATACTATTTTGAGCACACTCGATTGTGAAAATCTTTGAATGAAAAGCTGTGCAGAAAGTAAGTGTGTTAATGTTTTGCCTCTAGCCAACAAGAAGAAAGAGAAAGAACGTCCTGAGATCTCTCTTCCTTCAGACTTTGAACATACCATTCATGTGGGATTTGATGCCGTCACTGGAGAATTCACAGTAAGTAACCGCTGTATTGCGTGCTTACCAGAGCTTCTGGTTTCTTGATGGTAAAATAACCTCCTGTTGCCAGAAACGTCAGATGACAGCAGCCAGGCTGTGAAGAAAGAGACTCTTATTTGTTGGGCTTAGGATTTGGAGTGTTTTACTTCTGATTCAGGCTGCTTTTTTTTCTCCAAGGATTGTCAGCAGAGTGTCTGTGGAAAATGAAAACTAGGAAGAACGTAGGTGTATGCTTTTCAGTCCGACAAGCTGCTACAGGGGTTGGTTATTCAGTATCTTTGGAAAAGCATGAAAAACCCACACACATGTGCACAGTGTATGTCTTGCTGTAGACAATCAGCCCCAAAGTGCAAAGTCCAGCTGCTCTGCAGACAGCCCTTGGAGATGCCCAGAAAGCGGCAGCGTTGTGGAAGTCCATTCATTTTCATTTAATATCCTTCAAAATATGTCCATAGACTAGGTGATCAGACACGTTTCTAGCCTTTATGTATTAATAAAATAGCGGTCAGCTTTTTCTACTTATATCACGACAAAATATATGAAGTGTTGGGAAAAATGAGTCTGATAGAAGCTCCTTGAAGTCTGCAGGGGGCTTCAAAGCATTTTCTCTCAGACTACTAGTTAGGTGCTGAAACCATTAATCCTTAAAGCTAAGATGGCAGGAAGCTTACATTTGGTTGAACTGTGGAGGTGAGAGGAAACACTAGCAACTCTCCGTACCATCAATAGTACCCTGTGAGCTAAGTGGTCAGACTGTGTTATCATCGTGTGTCAAATAGCAAAGTGTGCTCATGCTGACTGGCTGCATACACCAAACAGGATGGGACAAATCATTTGCCTGGACAAAGGATGGTTAGTTTTCAGAATTTTGAGCCCTGAATGTGATTTCTTCATCTTCTTTTACTTTTGATTGCTACTTTTGTTTCTCAAAAACATTTCAGAAAGCTGGAAACTTTCTGTATGCCACAGAAGCAGTAGCAATAGTAATAAGCACAATAACAAGAAAAAAAGACACATTTAATGACAGCATGTCTTCAAAGGAGTAGTGAAATTAAATTATCCTTAGTACTTAGGAAATACAGCTACATTTAAAATATGTAGACGACTTTTTAAAATAGATGTCACTTACAGAATCTTACTTCAAAATTTATTCTGTGCCAAACACTAGGGCTTGATTAAATGCTCATTTAAAAAGCCCAGATGTGGTCATTTTTGATCAGAAACCTGGCATAAAGCTTTTAAAATTGTGTTTTCCCTGCTATCTACCCTGGTTTCCCTCTTTTTTTCCTGTCTGTCTCTCCCTGTAGCCACTTTATTGTTCGGGTTAATCTTCAATGCCATTCTCTCTATCTTGGTATCGTATTATGTATTCTGTTACTTTCTGCTTTTGTTTTCTCCCTTTTGTGTTTGCATCCCTTCTCCCTGTCCATCTTTTCTTTCTTTCCTTCCTTCCTCGTTTCACTGCTCTCCCTACTGAATGTTCAGCTGTTCTTATTCTATATTTGTTCTTCCTTTCAGCCTTCTGCCTTTATTTCTACCCTGTGCTTCAGACTTTTTCCTTCTGGCTCTGTGCAAACGCGATGGGTCACAATCGTGTTCTCTCGTAGACTGACTGGTGGTAAGGATCCCAGTTAGTTTCATGTCCCTGCCAGCTGGAACAAAAAGGAGGGACGTCGAGGTTAACACACTTCAGTTCTAAGCACAAGCACTCTCTATCAGTACTTCAGAGATCACGGTTTGGATCAGTTTGAATGTTATTATTATCATCCAGCGTGTCAAAATAGTCTCTAGCATCAGAGATTTTTTTTTTTTTGTCTCAGATGCCACCAGCACAGGTCCTGGCCTTTTACAGAACAAAGCGATTGTACATGGCTAAATATGTCCAGCTTCATTGCTGTAGTACAGTTTCTTTTTACTATCTTTTTCCCTTTCAAAACAGTGGACATTAGATGGCTGCTCTTTTACAATTACACAGTATTTCTACAATAATACTTGTTCCTAAAGTGTGGAAATGCAGCGCTGCAGTTTGAGAAGGCTCTAACCAGTTCAAAACAAACCAAAGGGACAGGTGACTTCCCCCGTGCAGCTTGCCAGCACAGGACTTAACGCCGCAGTCCTTAGTGGAGTAAAATGTCAGTCAAAGCAAGGGGATTTTTGCACCATTTAGAACTAGCTATCAGCTCCTAACTAATCCCAGCTGCAAGTATTACGTTACACATTACATTAGGCATGTTTTACACATTACATTAGGCATGTTTGATTTGTCCCAACCTGGATACAACCTGTGTATCAGCTGGGTAG